ACAGATCTTCACAATGATCACTCTTGTTTTTTAAAATTTTTTTTTTTTTAACGATCACCGGTGCTAAGTGATACTTCTCTTGTTAATAATCACCAACGGCGATGGAAGGCTAGTGCTGTTTGGTAAGTTTCTTTATATGAAAAATATTAAAAAAAAATTTTAGATTACGACTATTATATCTTCTTTCTTTTTAAAGTCAACCACAACCTGTTCCTACATATTCACCTCCGCCACCACCACGCCCACTACCACAAATACCTCCACCATTAATTGCCGGTAAACGTACAGCAACTGATGATTCTTTTGTGGGCAAAACGGGTGGTGAAATATTTCATGAGATGATGTTGCGTCATGGTGTAAAGCATGTGTTTGGATATCCAGGAGGTGCAATCCTTCCCGTATTTGATGCAATATATAACTCCGAGCATTTCGACTTTATTCTCCCAAGACATGAACAAGGAGCTGGACATATGGCGGAAGGTTATGCTAGAGCTAGTGGTAAACCAGGTGTTATTTTGGTTACTTCTGGTCCTGGAGCAACGAATGTTGTTACTCCAATGCAAGATGCTCTGTCAGATGGTACACCCTTAATCGTGTTTTGTGGCCAAGTTCCAACGTCATCTATCGGAACTGACGCGTTTCAAGAAGCTGATGTTGTTGGCATAAGTCGTGCTTGTACAAAGGTTCATATATTTTATCTCGAAAATCACATTTAAAGATGAAATAATGATAAATATTAATTCTCTTTTAAAATACATCATATATAGTGGAACGTAATGGTTAAAGACATTGCAGATTTACCACGTCGCATTAGTGAAGCATTTGAAATAGCAACTACAGGTCGACCAGGTCCTGTACTAGTTGATCTTCCAAAAGATGTTACCGCGGGTGTACTTAAAAAAGCTATACCAACACAATACACAATTCCTTTCCGTGCTTTTAGTGAATCTCCTGCACTAGCATCATCTCTGGAAATTTATCCAGTTATTCAGCGTGTGGCTGAAATTATTAACAAATCCAAGCGACCCGTCATTTATGCAGGTCAAGGAGTCCTCTCAACAACGGAAGGACCAAAACGTTTAACAAGGTTGGCATTTGAAGGTAACATCCCAGTGACGACAACCTTACAAGGGCTTGGTGCTTTCGATGAAACGGAATCTCTTAGTTTGCATATGTTGGGTATGCATGGTTCAGCATATGCCAATATGGCTATGCAAACTGCTGACACTATTATCGCTCTAGGTGCGAGATTTGATGATCGTGTTACTGGTGATTTGGCTCGTAAGTATCAAATTTTTTTAAATTTTGGAGGAAATAAAAAATCTTCATTCTAAAATTCTTTTCCTCCTATTTTATAGACTTTGCACCAGAAGCTAAAAAAGCAGCAAAAGAAGGGAGAGGAGGTATCATTCACTTTGAAATAAGTCCCAAGAATGTCAACAAGGTTGTACAAGCTACAGAAGCTGTTCAAGGAGACGTAGCAGATAATCTTATTAGGCTTTTACCACTTATTGAATCACAAGAAAGAAGTGAATGGTTTTCAATGATTGATGAGTGGAAACAAAATTATCCATGGAAATATTCTAAACCATCATCCCCAGACGAAGCATTAAAACCACAACAAGTTATAGAAGAATTGGATCGTCAAACTAGTGAATATAAAGACAAAGTACTTATAACAACAGGAGTAGGACAACATCAAATGTGGGCAGCTCAGTTTTATAGGTGGACACATCCAAGAACCATGATCACATCAGGGGGTTTAGGTACAATGGGATATGGATTACCTTCAGCAATTGGAGCAAAGGTTGCAAAACCGGATCATATTGTTATTGATATCGATGGAGATGCAAGCTTTTGTATGACGGGAATGGAATTAGCAACAGCAGCCCAATATAATATTGGTGTAAAAGTATTAATTTTAAATAATGAATTTCAAGGGATGGTAAAGCAATGGCAGGATTTGTTTTATAATAATAGATATAGTGAAACCAAAATGAAAAATCCTGATTTTGTTAAATTATCAGAGGCAATGGGTGTTAAAGCTTTAAGAATTCGTACCGAAGAAGAATTACCGGCGAAAATGAAAGAATTTTTAGAATACAACAATGGACCAATTGTATGTGAGGTTCTTGTAGACAAGCATGAACATGTCTATCCTATGGTTCCAGCTGGTAAAGCTTTACATGATTTTGAATTGCATCCTGACTTGAAAAAAATAAAAATAATGTAACCATATTTGATGTATATATATAGTTGGTTCGCTCCTTTTTTAATATACAAAATTCATTCTTATATGTATTAATTAATAACAAAAGTAAAAATTTAATATAAAAATTAAAATTAAAATTTTTTAAAGTTTATTAAAGTTCAAAATTTTTTTACAAGCATATAATCAACGATCATTTTGTCAAAAAGGTATCAGCAAGTCTCTCTCTCATAAAGATAAATTTATCTAAATAAAAAAAAGATTTTCTTTTCTTACTATCAAAGTTATCCCATAAATAACTTTTGAGTTTATTTCGAAAATTAACGGAAGAAAAAAAGAGCATAAATCTGACCGAATTAATTTATTGATTCATTTTGTTCGTCTATTTTTCAATGATTTCCTAACTAAAGGATAAATTTTGAAGATAAGTTGAAAAACACGCACGTGACCAAATACACATAGCTAAAATAAGCAAATTTTTCTTAGTGGTGGTTGAACTTATCCCTGAAAATTTTTAAAGTGTTTTCTTATGCACGTGTAAATTTACAAAATACTATATTGTAAATCTTTCGTTTTTAGAATTCATGCTGCAGACTTTTACTTTCTTAAAAGTCCCGTCAATTCATCATATCATAAATTTATATATAATTTTATACGTCACGTCAAGATACGTCAAAACAAAATCAACATCAGGAAGTCACGGAAAAAATGTACATTTCATGAACATCAACTACTACATGTACATCATAAATTAACAATGATTAATATTCATTGTTTAATCATTATTCATTGTTTTCGATTTAATCAATATACAGTACATATAATTATCTATTTTTTAGATCGCATTGTCATAAATTTATTAATAATTTCAATAACAGATAACATATGAATTAAATATTTATACCAATATTTTTTTTGTATAATTAATAAACTAAAATGGTATTTTGTGAAAAAATCTCCTTGATTGTTATTATTTGATACGGTTTTAAACTATTATTATTAAATTCATAAAGAATGTAAAAAAATAAAAAATAATATTTACCTTCTAATTAACATCATTTCCATCTTCAATGTTATCTTTGTTTTCATTAATATTACATTAAACAAAATTTAGTATAAAATCAAATCAAATTAATAAATTAACTACTATACTTACAGCTAATTTCATAATTCATAGACCACTAATAAATTGTGACTGAATGAGACTGAAAATATTTTATAATAAAATTACTATAAAATATTGTGACTAAATGCGACTGAAAAATTATTAATAATTCATGAATTATGAAATTACTCAAATTTTTTTAATATTTTGATTTATATAATTGATTATTATCTCTCTATTAAGAGATGTAGTTTGAACATTAATATTAAAATCAAGTTAAACAATAGCTACTACAAATATGCAATTATTTATTATACATTTTTCTGTCTTGAATATTTCATTACAGCTAATTTCATAATTTATGAACCACTAATAAATTGCGACTGAATGCGACTGAAAATATTTTATAATAAAATTACTATAAAATATTGTGACTGAATGCGACTGAAAAATTATTACAGCTAATTTCATAATTCGTGGACCACTAATAAATTGCGACTGAATGCGACTGAAAATATTTTATAATAAAATTACTATAAAATATTGCGACTGAATGTGACTGAAAAATTATTAATGGTCCATAAATTATGAAATTAGCTGTAATAGCTACATTTAATAGTTGTAATTTACTTGTAAATCTCTCAGAAATTACTGCAATATTATTTTTCATTAAATTTATTTTTTACTGAATCTACAAGATGTATAAGATGTTTATAAAAAGAATCTAAAACTAACTGAGATCTTGGATTACCTAATAAATTTTTTTCAGATTCATACTTTCTCAATCTACCAAAGCATCTCTGTTTATTACACCATGCTTTCTCATTTACACAAATGAAAAATTCCTTCAGTAAATGATTCTCTTGAAATATTTTTAAGTTTGAAGATACAAACTGCTAGTAATTTTATACTATTAACTATATATATTAGAATAACTGTAAAGTTTGTTTTTTATGAATTATTGTTTATATATTAACAGTTAAACTTCTACAGTGATCCAAGGTAATTGAATAAAACAAATTAAAAGTAACAGGAGTTTTATTCATATTACTAATATATTATAGTGAACAATCATAATGTATATATCTATACAAAATAAAGGATAAAAGCTTTGTTACTTTTCTAATAGATCTTTAGAAAGAAAGATGTTGAACAATATGAGTTCTTCTTCTCATAACAAAATTAAATTTTTTTATAAATCCTTCTAACTATAATACTAAAAACTTGAATTCTTTAATATTTGTATAAAGATCTATCTACTTTCTTTTTTGGATAAGAGTTTTTGCTTTTTAATTATTATATTTTATGTAACAGTTTTTACAGTTTTACGCAAGTCAATTATCTATAAAAAAAGTACTTGTTCAAATTCAGAAAAGTTTGCACTTTTACTTTTATGTAATTTTGAATATATGATACTGTATAAAATGATAAATTAGCCATTATATAAAAAAAAAATATATTACTAAAAACCAATAAAAAAATGGTTGTTAAAATAAAAATATTATAAAAATTTCATAAAGCATTTTTATACAATATTGGTATTTTTTATTTTTTTATTTATATATTACACAAAGTTTAAAAACATTATTAAAATTTTATTGGATATACTGAAATAATTAATTAAAATTTTATAATATAGAAATTTTATTAGATAAAAAATAATATATCAAACTGGTTTAAACTGATTACCAAATTTTAGACTGAAGACTATTCAGACTGATTAATTAACTAGTTTATGAACTGGTCTTGTTAGGATCAATACATCTCATCCCTACTTAGAGACTTCTATCCCTATAAATAATCTGTATCCCTTAAATGGTAATGATTTTTATTTAAATTTAGTTATGATTTTCAATCAATTATTATACAAAATTCTATATAAAAACTTACAATTTTTTTAATTTTTAGTTAAAATATATTATACAATTTATTATAAATCTATTATTTTTAAATAAAATTTAATTTTTAATAATTAAAATATTAAATATATACAAAAATTTTCAATTTTAAATTTATAATTTTTTTTATAAATAAATAATATTTAAATATATAAATAAATGTTTTAAATATAAATTTATATATTTATATATTTTGTAAAGTTTTTTAATATTATAAAAATAAATAAAAATTAAAAATTTTATCTTTTATAAAGAAAATATTTTTATTAAAATAATTTTAAAACTTTGAACTTAAATTAATGCAAAAAATTAATTAATGTAATTTTTTTTTTGATTTTGCTTAAAAAATATCATAATTTTATTATTAGTTTATAACTAATTTTTAATATGTTTAAATTAACTTTAAAGTGTAAGTAAAATTCCTTCTAAATTTAAAAGAAAAACCATTGAAGGAATAAAAAAAATATACAGAAATAATACATTTAAAAAATGTATAATATACATAAAAAACAATATAATAAATTTGTAAATATTTCCGTATACTGGATAATGAAAATTGTCTTTTTCCATATGCAGAAAAATACAGAATTTTATGTTTAATTAATATATTGTATATATAATTTTACATAGATTTTTATATGTCTAATTAATATATTGTATATGTTATTTTTAGTTGAATTTTATATGTCTAATCAGTATATTATATATATTATTTTGGTTGGATTTTATATGTTATTAGCGTGAAAATTTTACTTCCATCCCTCACGTGACAATAATTTACTTTCATTCTTGTTAATCAAATCTAAATTTTTTGTTGTTTTGTTAAAGACTTAGTTAATTTCACCCATGATATAAGATAGACAACTTCTGCAAAGTTTCTGACTTTAAGGAATCCACATCCTATAGGTATCTCAAAAAGCTTGAATTCTTGAACTGGCAATACATGTCTCTATTTTATTCACAATTTCTTTACAAAATAATAGGAAATTATGAATAGTTAAGGTTGCTTGTCTAAACTCATTTTGGATTTGGCAAAACGGTAAAACCTTTAGTTTTGCTAAATTTTTACTAAGTGTTTGATATAGTTTCGCTATTTTTATAAGCTTTGATATAGTTTTACCTTTTTCTAAATTTCGCAGATTTTTCAATAAGGTTTTAATATAATTTAACCAAGTTTTACTTTTACCATTTAAACGTCTATCTAAACTCTTGATTTCATCCAGCAACCTTATGAATAGTGAACTAAAATGTATATCGTAGTGTAAGGTATCACAGTAATAGCAAATTATAAAATCATTTACTATTTTTTTAAATAATTATGATCATTTTGACTTGAAATTTATAATTAAAGTGAAGTCATTTGCTAATACTAGAATATCACATCAAATCCTAAATGAAGGATATAAAGAAAGAAGAAAGTTTATGTTTAACATTGATTTCTTTATTAAATTTTAGTTTGTTATTAATATTAGAACTATTGATATTTTAGGATTATTATAACCTTAATTTTTACATCAATAAAAAACTATCTTATTTATAATAATTCTGCATTACTATTTCTAATGATATGGACTAACTAGTTTTAAATAAAAGTAATTAATATAATAAGAATAATAAAAATAATTCATATAATAAAAATAACAAAAATAATAAATATAATGATAATTATTGAAATAATAGAAATAAACGTGATAATAGTAATCAAACTTATCAGGCTTATCAAGTGAATACAATAAATCTTAAGAATTCTAAGAATCCTATAAATCCTAAGAATCAGATAAATCAGAAATTATGCTGATTCTCTAATTTCATGATCAATATAAATTAATTTTAGTAACTTCTGTAGATCATTTGATAATTCTTTGTAGATTAACTTTTTAATAGTAAATTTTTAGCTAGTAATAATGTCTAATCAGTATATTATATATGTTATTATTGATTAAATTATATACATAATTTTGATTGCAATTTTTATACATTTAATCATTAAATAAATATAAGGCCGCTCAAATTCAATCCTT